GCCTTTAGTGGGAAACTCCCGCACTGCTGCGCTGGACCCGTGGGCTTTCTCTGTGGTGAGAGCTCCGTCAAAGTGGCAGTCGTCTGCTACGCGCCCGATATATCGGTCGCTGTCAGCCAACGTTACGGTAATAAGGGCAATATTTATTATTGGATTACTCCAACACTATACTGTAGCGACCTTCGACACAGATAACACATTTCGCAAATGTGAAGCGGATATCTTGTATATTTCCTGCCAGCTGTTTTGCGACGGCAATCATCCAAGCTTACACGCCCGTCTGAAGAAAGCATTCTGCGCGCACCCATCATGAGGGAAGGTACTAAATTACGTTTCATGGCGAATGTAGACATGTCGCAGAAGACAATGAGTTTCAGATCGCAAGGATAACCGAGGGAACGTATGATGCGGGTTCAGTCGCCATTCGGCCCTTTGCAATCGTGTTCCAAACTGTCTCTCCTGTCTCCTGCGCGAGTCCCCCCCCTCCCTTCTTTTTTATGTCTTTGAATAACGAGCTTTTTCTTCTTCTTCGTCTTCCAGTGATCGGCCACTCCGTCGTATGTTCTCGCTGGTTTGCCTTAACGTGCTTCACACACATATATACACGAAGTAACTGGCTACCTTATGGTAATGCGCTTCCATACTTCATATTTTTTTTATCTCGTGCAATCGATTTTTTTTTTGTATGGCTGCCTTGCACACTCTGCTGTTTCAAGCCTTTTCGTGCAGTGAAAGGTCTTCATCGGCGTGACCGTGGTACCAAAAATAAAAACTAACTCGCATTACCTCGCATCTCGTTCACCTGATAAGATCATGGCATCACTATACCTTGATATGCTTGTTATTTGCACACAATAAGCAAGAAAATCTGGACAGTGACCACTTTATTGTAGAGATTTCTATGAAAATTAAGGCAGCTCGCCTGAGGGCATTCAGTGTAGTAGACTGGGATGCCTTCCGTAAATGTCGGGCAAAGAACTCCGATGATTATGATTCGTTCGTAAACCTCATACTGAAACTAAAAGAGGACGTTTAGGCTGTTAGCAAAATAGTCGAAACAGACCTAAAGTCGACAGGATGGATGCGCACTTACAGAGACTAAATTGGAGGCTGTGCAAGAAGGTATCGATTTTAAATCGCGACATCAAAGTCTACTGCCAAGAATTGAACAAGCAGCATGGAACGAGGTTTCCTCGGCAGTCTATGGGCAGATGCGGGTAGGAGGCAAGTGGAACCTCCTGAAGCAACTTCTCAATGAGTCACAGTCAAAAAGCAATCAGTTCCTAGCCATTCATAGGATAATCTACGATCTGAAACAGGAGGAGCAAACAGATGTAGACATACTTCAGAACGTAGCCGAAATGTACCGCCCCGTATACGCCCCTTGGGGCACGAGGACTACCTAGAGTACAGAGGTGTACGTGTGTGTGTGTGTGCATGCGCATTTTGGCGGTTCTGCAATGCGTCTGTGACCTTGCGGCATAGTCGATGCATTGTGCAGTTCAATGGTGTCTTAAAAAGGGGCCAATGATCGTTGCGGAATGAGTTAATCGCACATAGGACAGAGGAACCAATCACAACGCTTGAGGCCCAGAAAGTGACTAAACCACCGATGTGCTAACTACCGTAATGCTGCGCAGTGGCTTGCCATGGCGCATGAATGGTCTTAGGCCCCAACGTAACGGTGTCAAAGCTGCACTTTGGAATTCTACCTCTTCATAGTGAGCCCCCTTGCTGCATTCAGCATACGCTTCGGACATTTATACGTATATGTATTACATTCATGCGCTCACGGACTGCAACGCTGTGACCTAGTTCCTGGGAGTGTTTTTCTCGTCACGTGTACTTTAGCTGCTCTATTGCTCAATTGTTCCTTTAGTGTCATGTGCATGCCGCCGCCAGCTATCAATTGACCTGTCTTTCGACATACGGGTGCGTGAATGGCAGGGAAGAAGACCGAAGCGTAATGAATGGGAGTGCCGCATTGGCGCCTGTCCGGTGCCTGCAACGGTCGCGTTTGGCCAGGCATCTATTTAACATGCCAGGTATATCTAAGGCTATCGGTTTATAATTTTCATTGTCATTAATTTTACAGCCACCGCACCAATAATGACTGGCACGCAATAAACAATACAAGTTTAAAATAAACAATCCAGCGATAGATTCTTGTTGCACCCGCTGAGCTCGTCCTCACCCCTACAACCTCGATTCACTTTGTTCTTATTTGTGTACAACACGGCAGAACCATCAAGCACTTGGTAGAATGGTTTTTCAACATTGCCAACAAAATGTTAGCAACGAAACGAAGCTTGTCAGTCATTTACCGACATCGAGATGGAGCTTTTGCTAAGTGCAAACAATGTATTTGTTTCATGGCTATTATTTCATATACTCACACTGCAATATTGAACCAGCCCTCATTAACAGCCTACGTATTGTTTCTTTCGGTGCGGTTTTCTGTGCATGAAACGTATTTGTATTGGTGCATGTGTGGAAATTTCAACTTGAAGAAAACTTGGATGACACTTGAGCTTCACCTTCTAAAGCGAAATGGGATAATGTAATTTGGCTACATGTGTGTCGCTTTATCAGTTGCTAGCATGCCTTCAGTTCTCGGTGAACTTTGTCGCAAGGAAACGAGCGTGAGCAAGTTTAACATTCGTAGTTTCAAAGTATTTTAGAATGCTCACTGCAAGTTCAGTTGCAGAGTACCTTCCTGCAAATTATTGAAGAGTCTTCTAGGCATCGGTTAGGCCAACGCGAACTTACGCAGTTGTTGACATTGTCTGAGCCCTCTGTAACATGGGGCCTTCAAAACGCGCACTTAGTATGCAATGATGATACGCTGACACATGGCGTCATGGTACACTCTTGCCTCGCAACACTATATGCGTTAAGAAGACTCGTCTAATTACATATTTGTATATTTTTTTTTACCCAAGCAGTTTCAAGCAATTACCTAACTGTTTGGTAGAACGCCAGCTGCTTAATTGCTACATAAAAGGCTTGGGTTCAATTCGCACTCGCACTGCTTTTTAGTATTTATCTGTAGTTATCTCAAAATTTCACTCACGGACAACCCTATTTTTTACGCACAACCAGCAACGCCGATGCAGACTCCAGTGTTTCAGCGATACAAGCTACTTCACGCTATAATGTTTTGTATTGAAGTGGGCTACTCTGACTGCTCATTTGAAAGCTGCTGTAGAAAGTGTCGTATGTGTTGCACTTGTAATAGACTAGCGCTGAAGTTGCAGTTCAATATATTTGTAGTATCGCCGGTGACCTCTAAAAAGCTTGTCTAGGATCATTTCCTTAGACTCCTTCCATCGACATATAACTTGTCTCTGTTGATATTCAATTCGTAAAGTATATGCAGCGCTAAATGAACATTAAGTTTCTCACTTTATACAGCCCTATATGTTGATAAAAATTTCAAATTAGCATTAATGTAACACGTTTTAATTTTTTAATGTGACTGTAACGAGTTCCTTCTGTATCTAGGGAACTTGTAACGAGAACTCGTTCGAAAACTGGGAAGGAATGAGCTTTCATTCCCGTTTTAGAGGAACGTGTACAACACTGGTACGAGGAGCACCCTCCCCTAGCGATAAAGTAGCGAGACGCCTTTTCATCTCGAAGGCTTTCGTTCTGGCAATACTGCTTCTCCCAGTAGTCTTGGGCTTTACCAAGAGGCACAAAGCAGCACAGAAAAACGAAAATGCAGATTACGTGGCCTAAACTGCCTCATTGCAAAGCCAAGGTACCATTTCATAGGGCAAAGGCCCAATCTACAAGCTCAGTGGTACGTCAAGTTGTCCATAGCCAAGCTTGCGTCACTCTTTCTCGCATGAAAATATTGTTTAGCATTAATATAGTCTATTGTAAAATAAAAAATAACTAGTCCCTCTGATGTTTTAAGAATGTTATTTGTATGTATGTATGTATGTATGTATGTATGCCCTACCCCACTAACAACCTAAGGGGTGGGCGCATTGTGAATCTCATATATTGACGTGTAGAGAGAGGGGTGAACATTTCCCTCTCTTTCAAGTGGAACGCTGTGCTCTTTCCTGCACTGTCATTTGCCACATTTTTAGCTCGGCAGTGGTTTTACTCCTAGCTTTTCGATTAAAAAGGACAAGTGAACTTGTAATTTGATTGGATACCTATATACCCTGAGTAATGTTCATTAAGAACTACTGGTGGATTTCATTACTTGGTGCTTGCTCACAATTACCGCTGTGCAAGTTACACAGGTTAAAGGTGAATAAGTAAGACTTTCTGCGTGTGTTTTTGTGTATATATCATTGTGAGCCTCGCAATACAGCATTTAAAGGCACCACTTTATCGTGACATTTCTTGCATCACCATTACGTCTATCGCAACAATGCTTATGGGAAACTACAAGACTTTTTTATAAGTTAGTAAGAGTATATGAACACATTATACTCTTCATTTTTATTATGATACCATTGAAGAGCAGGTAACGTAGACATTGGAAGTACTTAATGTTACTAGTTTTATTTGATTAGTTTATTTATTCAATACTGCCAGCAACTAAGGCAGTAGTGGTCGCCTAGGCAGGAGTGCTTACAGTGCGGTGCACATACGTTGCATTTGTTGCAAGTTAATGTGATGTTATTATGAAAAAATAACAGTGAAATGCTTTAGGGGGAAGAAACTAGTTTATTTATTCAATACTGCCAGCAACTAAGGCAGTAGTGGTCGCCTAGGCAGGAGTGCTTACAGTGCGGTGCACGTACGTTGCATTTGTTGCAAAACAATGTGATGGTATTATGAAAAAATAACAGTGAAATGCTTTAGAAGGAAGAAACCCGACAGATAAAAAAAGAACCATGGTTAGGATGCCATTGCTCTGTGTGTGTGTTTCATTGATGGAATGAATAATGCCCTACCAAGTAGCTGTGGAGCCAGTCTGCCCTTATGAAAAGCGTATTTGAAAAGAAAATATATTGAGCCTTGTAATTTCCGTGCAGGTACCCAGCTGGCTTCTCATACTTTCCACGTGCACTGTTGCCTAACAAGCATCAAGTCAAGACAACCAAACACAGTGGCGTGCCGAGGCGAGTTTGCTTTGGCCGCGGTTCCCCAGTTGCGTGGCACCGGCAGAGACCACCTTCCACTTCGCGAGTTGCACAAGACATAGACATGAAAGACATAGCTGATGCGTTGGACACTTAGTTCCTGCATACTAGCTCTTTTGTCAGTGTGCGAAACAGCTTACAGTGCGCATTCTACATACGAGAAGGGCACGAAATGTCTTGATGGTGCTCCTTGTGTAGTTTGGCAAAAACTCCTCAAGTGCGATGTTTGCCACTGCTCCTTGTTTGTTTCATGAAATTAAAATTCCTCGGAGTGTAAATCAGCATTATGCGAGGTAGTCAGCATGAAGCTATGGAACATTGTGGGTCATATTCAGATTTCTGACGCAGGACTGGAAGATGAAACACAGAAACTACTTAGCAATAAAAGGTTTAATACAGAAGGCAAAGTTATTCGCACCATCTGAGCCCCGTAGTTTGTGTGTGGTGTTCTTGTTTCGAACTTTTTCATGAATCGTAAGGAATAGAAAGAAAAGTATTCAGCCAACTCTGCTAAATCGACCAGCATTGAAATATTTTTCTTTATTTTATACTGATAGTGAAGAACAAGGCGCAAGTTGTAAGTTTTGAAAACCGTTAGGATATCAGCAGCTTGAAAGAGTTGCGCGGAAGGAAGATCTCTGGCTAAGTTTTACACAATGGGTAAAACCTTTTTCTGTAGAACATGGAGCTCTTTTAAGGCTTCATGCACGCCAGTGTCCCATACAAGTTTACAATAATTCACTTGTGGCATAAACAACGATTTGAAGAGCTACCACTTGATATCAGTTGGAAGAAAATAATTATTGTGCTATAAAAGACCAACAAAATGCGAGACAGCTAAACACACGAGATTAATATGCACATTCCATAGGAGCTTTTCTGTGAACCAAACACCAAGAGTTTTAAATGCTGGTATAATTTCTATGTTTTTGGAGCCATGAGTCAAAGACCCACAAGAGGATAGAGTTCTTCCCCTAGGGCAGAAATTGACCACTTCTGTCTTGGCAATATTAATTTTTAGTGTATTTAACTTTGACCAGCCTTTTAGGGCAACTAGCATTTCATTAGACCTTCTAATCGATTCGTCACGATTTTTACCGCTGAAAAAATGCTGGCGTCATCGGCATATATAACGTAGAATGAGTTATCTTGAATATTAACAATGTAAATAATGTATAGATTAAACAAGAACTGCCTCAATATACTTCCCTGCAATAGACCTAAGTTAAAACCTAGCATTTATGACAAGTGCCCGTTAACGCTAACGTACTGACGTAGATGGGACAAATAAGAGTTCACGAGTTGAGTGGCACATCCTCGAATCCCATAGCTTTCTAGCTTAGCAAGCAGTATTTTATGATTCAAGCTGTCGAAGGCTTTCTTAAAGTCCATAAAGAGAGCTCATACTAGGCGTCTTTTTTCAACGTTTCATAGAATGAATTCTTTCTGTGCCAACAGCGCAGTCTCAGACAGGTTTTTTTCTTACATATATAGATATATATATGTGTGTGTATATATGTGTTTATTTATTATATTTGTAAATCTGTATTTAATTTATTCCCTGTGCTCACTAAATATTTTTGTACAATTTTTTTCGGAAGCCCTCCCACAGTTTTTTTCTTTTGGACCTCCGGAAAATGTAGCATCTTTATGTATATATTTATTGTGTTCCGAGATTCTTTTTTAATAAACTTGAAAAACTTGAAGTGTCAGGAAGAGCCGGCCTGTCCTACTACCTTTTGTGCATGATGTCTCGCACAAGCTAAAAAAGATTGGTCTGACTGCCAACGTTCTGGTGTTGTTGTTTTTTTGTGCGCCGAGAAAAATCGCAGACTTTGCAAACGAGTTAGTACACCTCGTGTAAACTCTGCCCCCTGCTCTGTAGCACGCAGTTCATGCTACGTCCCATGCGCAATGGGAGTCGTCTACTTGATTCTGCTGACGAATGCCCATGTTGGCCGAACCGGCAGGTGCATAATTGACCGCCTTGGAGAGCACTGAAATAATGTGCACAAATACACAAATAACGTACAAGGGCACCTTGGCATCCATTGCAGGGATTGTGGCTGCACCCCCCCCCTTCGATCGGTGTTTTATATTGCAAGGCATAAGAATTAGCTTACCCTCAACATTAATGAAGCGGGGAAAAAAACATTTGCTAGGTGATAACTGCAAAGCTCCAAATCTGTGGCTTTATCACAGTTAGTACGTGATTATCTGGTTGGGCTTTGAGGCAATCGAGGACCCGTCACAAGTGTTTTGATACTGATGCATTGATTAGGCTTTTCTTATCTTCCTGTTCTGTATCGTCTTTTTCGACGCATTTATTTTTCCATGCTGCGAAATAAGGTTAGTTGGAAGTCGGTGCTCCTTTTGTCTACCCCACCCATTTTTTCCTATAATTGCACGCTGAAAAAAGTTGAAAATATGACTACGCACCGACTAGCCCAATCTTACACAATTCCATATTAGATATGTGAAATGCCTTCAAACGGCCTAGTTAACTGTATTTTCGTGAAGCTGCGAGACATGTTTGCAGCACTGGCGCTTGAAAGCTTGTTCCCCATGACATCAGCACTGACGTTATAGCACAGAAGGGCCTTATCGAAGCGAAGTGTATACTCAATGGTGTACATAGCCTCAATTCTCCAAGGTCGATCAATGCTTGAGTATAGAGTGTTCAGTTGTATGTGTACATATCGCAGACGCGTATTGAAAGCATCGTTGCATCACGCGACGTTATTCTTCATTACGTGTTGTGGGGATGCTCGTCATCTGCGCCTTGGGTGTGGTCGCTGCGCAGTATTTTCCAGGCCTAATGAAAGATTGTATTAACTTTTGGCTCACACCTAGTAATGGTGCTTTGTAGAATCAGTAGCATATTCATTGCATACGATATGTGCTATATAGTGCGTTTTATAACACCAGCTAGTCAACAACAATAAGGACACTCCAGTTTCGTCTTCAATAGCAGAACGCCAAGCTTAATTGGGCCCTGTTCACTAGCCTTGGAGGCTGCACTTCTTGTTGAGAACATCAAGCAAACCGCAATAAAAGGACCTTTTTGCCATTTCAACCCAGTGCTTATTTCATGTATAGTTGCCAAGTGCCCACTGCACCACAATTTATCGTTTTGCAACTTAGCCAAAAAAGCCAATACTTGCCCGCAAGCAGTTCTGGGCTTTACTGTGGTGGCCTCGCCCATTCCAAGCGAATGAGTGGCAGTTCTTTCCTAATCTGGACTAGTAGTGGCCACCACATTGTTGACGCTGTGCTGATGATGATCTTGTCCAAGTGCATTGTACTGGGCGAGTCTTTGAACTTCGTTGTTCAATTCAGATTGTGTGACGTCTTGTGCGAGTTTACGCTTTTCGATGCTACTTTACATGCATTAATGGGACTTCTCGCAGCACATGACAAATGCATAATTTTTTTCGAAGCAGTTTCAAGCATTGGCGTGGCTTTGTGGTAGAACTCTTCACAGAAGGTCGAAATACGATTCTGGATGGGAGCCGGGATTTTTAGTTTCAGCATTTTACGCAACTTCTCGTCTATGGAGAATGCTGATTCTTTGCCCGCAATGAATGACGCTGACACCGGAATTTCTGCGAAATGAGTTATTTCAGTCTATCGCGTTATCAGTGCAATCACCGTTGATTAAAATTAGACGACGCAAGCCACCGTGGAAGAAGGGGAAAGAAGCAGACAAAGGGAGAAGGCAGGGAGGTTAACCAGAAAGACATCAAGTTTGCTACCCTATCCTGGGGATTTTGGGAAGGAGACAAGAAAGACAAGAAACAGGGAAGAGCAGGAAAAAAAGGAGATACAGATAGTAAATTCACTGCAGCGTACAAAAGCAAAAGGAAAGAGCTCGTGTGTATGGGCACGTGTGGTGCATCCGTACTGTGCAGTCTGTTTTTAACTTTTCTTGACAGTGCTGGCTCAGGCTCTAGACAATGCAAGTGTGCGCCGAGTGTACAAGTATATGGACAGCTTCTTTTTAGTTTTAAATGCTAGAGTAGGCTTAACACGCACCAACATAGTTGAAGAAATCTTACAGAAATGCCAAGCGGTTCTCCTTCACGCATGAGCTAACAATACTTTAGTCTCACTTTGACAGAAGAGTACATCTGTTGGGCCTAGTTTGGGCATAGAGCTGATGGCCTATGACACTGCCCAATCTAAAGTAGTTAATTAAGAGAGATAATGCTTTTATATGCTTGGAAGATGCATTGGCTAGGTTTTTGCCCTCACAGAATGCAGGAGAGCTTTGACGACCAGGTCGGTTGGGTATCCTCGCTCTGTCGTTGCGGCAGCGGCTGAACCCTTGCTACGAAAGGCTAAAGAGAAAAGTAATGTTGGAGGTTTGAAAAAAGACCAGTACTTGTCCGTATACCCGTAAGGTTGCACACAACTTTAAAAAGGTGGCCAGTATACTCGAAGTACCTGCGGTGTTTTTTGCGCCAAGAAAACTGCAGTGCCTGTGTCCACAGATTTCCAGAGGACTCGAGCCCGCCCAGTGTGGTAACAGGCATGTGAGGCCGTGTCGTATACCTCACCTGTGCATTGGGAGTAGTCTACGAAATTCCGCTCACCTGTGGACGGATTTACATCGGCCAGACCGGCCGATGGGTAAACGATCGAGCAAGAGAGCGTGATTTTTCGATCAAGCACAATCGCATATTATTTTGGCACATTTGCCTATGCACTGAATAGTGTGTGGATGTGAGGCGAGATTTCCTAACAAGACAATTCTAGGTAGAAGCAAGGAGGTGATGGATCAAGAGATCCTAGAAGCACACCTCACCAGAAAGAAAAAAAAATTGACGCCTTTTTCTTCTATTCATTATTGCATGGTGGTTTGCTTCTTTTAATTTTTTTGTAACATGCACTTACTAGTTCTCAATAATAGCCCAACAACAAGTTTCACTAAATCACCGTTGACATTGCCTCGACAGGACCCCAGCATGGTAGTTTTACAAAACACTTCAATCACTTGGTGTTGTTCTCTGGTATGCACATTTTTGAATGCACATTTTTTGCACAAGGACGGCACTGAGTCGTACGCTGCTTGCGTCGGTGTGTAATTCTGTTTCGGCGTATTTGTGAAAATGCGCAAATAGCGGTGGTGTCTGCAAACGTCGTTTAAGTTTCTGAAATGCTTCAATTTGCACTGTTTGCCACTTGAAATTGAATCGACGTTGTTCTTCGTCAGTTGCGTTATTGGCTTGGCGATCTGTGAAAAGTCCTTGACGAAGTGTCTGTAATGGGCGCACAAGCCGAGAAATTGACGCATGGCCTTCTTGTCGGAGGGTGGCGAGAAGGCGGCGAAGACAGCTCTTTTCTGCATATTTGGACGCATGCCAGTCTTCCTGATCACGTGACCAAAAACAGGAGCTCCTTGTACACCAAGTGACATTTCTCTGGTTTTAGGGTGAGTGCAGAGCTCCTGATTGCTTGAAGTATGGATTCAGGGCACTTAAGGTGTTTGTTGAAGCTCGACAAAAACACAGGGATGTCATCCAAGTAAGCTAGGCAAGTCTGCCACTTCAAGCCAGCCAGGTCTGTATCTATGACTCATTGGAAAGTCGCAAGTGCCGAGGAAAAACCTACGGGCATGACCGTGAACTCGAACAGGCTGTCTAGTGTTATGAAGGCAGTCTTTTCTCGGTCTTTCTCGTCGACTTCAGTTTGCCAATATCCGGTCTTGAGGACTACCGAAGAAAAAGGCTTCTCATTGTGAAGTCAATCTGAAGCATCGTCTATCCGTGGGACTGGGTACACGTCCTTCTTTGTGATTTTCTTCAGGTGGATAGCCGACGCAGAACCGTATAGTTCCGTTCTTCTTATTCACTAACACCACCGGTGACGCCCATGGACTCTTTGAAGGCTGGATAATGTCGTGGCGTAGCATTTCGTCGACTTGTTTCTTTACGTCTTCGCCGTCTCGCTGTGAAACTCTGTACAGGCTCCGACGGAGTGGCCTGGCATTTTCGTCTCTTACAATTCAATGTTTTGCAACGGGGGTCTGTCGAATTCTTGACAATGACGGAAAGCACTTCTTTTATTTAAGGAGTAGATTTCCAAGTTGTTCTTGTTCATGCGTCGGAAGGCTCGGATTTACGTCGAAAGCTGGCTGAAGGCCTTGAGTCGTCAGAGTGCATTCGGCAGCATCGGTGACGGCGAAAGCGTTGCTGGCTTCCGGTATTTCTTTGACGTAGGCAACGGTCCTACCTTTGCTCTAGTGCTTGCACTCGTTGCTGAAGTTTGTGAGCATCACTCTAGCGTTACCTCCCTGCAGCCCGGCTATTCCTCTGGCAACGCGAATTTCGCGGTACAGCAACTGCACCTCCATCAGTTGATGCCTATAGTTTTCCGAATATGAGCTCACGGAACGATCCCTGTAGGGGCTGCTGTACTGCTGTCGTCGATGAGGGGACCTGTAAGGTCCAGGGGATGGCGAACGGAAGGAACGCTAAGGTGCCCGTTTTGAAGTGGTCGCTCGTCGTGCTGTGACGGCGGGGCACTGACGGCGAAGCCGTGTAGGCCCATTTGGTGGTACTGACAGCGGCGGTATGTGTGGCGAAGTTCTCCTCAGCGGTAACAGAGTGGGCGCTTGTCAGGAGTGCGCCAAACGTCGGTCTTCCTTGGTATGTAGCGATGGGAGGCAGGTAGGTGAGATGGAGGTGGTGAGAGCGGCCAACATTTATAG